ATTGATTCGAATAAAAAATTAATGATATTTGTGTCTATTAATAGAGGTCTACACTTAATTATGGTGGCTCGGCCAAGGAAAAAGCCAACACTAGGAAGAAAGGAAAAAACGAAAAGAAAAATAAAATTAAATAATTGTTGTTATTGACAATTTAACTCCACATCCGAAGTGTCGTAATTGGCAACTTCTTTCCTTGCATTTTCTCTTCCTCTCTTTCTTGATCTTTTTCTTCATTGCTCTCTCTCTCTTCCTCACATTATAAATAGGTGAGTCTTTAAATATATGTATAGACTATCATTATAAAGTTGCAAAATACCTTAGAAATTTTTTTCGAGACTCTTCTCTATACAAATGGCTCATTGGTCCTCTTTTTATATCTTATCCACATTTTCACCTAATTAATATCAAACTTTGTATTGAATTGCTTGAGTCAATTCCTTAATTGTCACTACCAAATTGCTCTCCATATTGTGTCATGCCCTTGAGATAGATGGACCTTTTCCTTTCTTAATTAAGATATTGGATTTCACTCTTAAGAGATTTGTTGATTCAAGTTGTCCTAATTTACTCAGGTCAATCACTATTGTTTCTACTTGAGCAATTCCTTGATGGTAAAAAAAAAATATATTATTTCACAATCCTTTATGAAAGTTGAATATTATACTCTTAACAATAAAAACTCAATATATATTATTGCTCACCCTTCTAGGTGATTTTCTCATTTTTCATTCTCAACCAACGTCAATTTCAACTGAGTAACAGAGTATCGTCTTAACTTAAAAAAAAATAAAATTATATAGCTATTTCCTTTCATACTATTCATGTCAAGTTTAGAACTATTAACATACATTTTAATTACATTTAGTAATTTAAATCAATGCGATCAAAATTAATTTTACTTGATATTAAAATAAATAACAAAAATATTTTACCGTTACATCTCTCAGAAACTACACAAACACTTATATCTTATAACATATTTGGTTTAATTAGTTTTTCTATAAAATAATTATTTTTAAAAGATAAAAAGTAATATTCTTTATGTAAACCAATTCAAACACGCAAGTATATATCCATTTATATTAATTAATTAATTACATATAAGATAATTGTTTATTTCATGTGGTGCAGCATGTTGTAGCCATGACAAACATTAAATATATAGTATATAATCATTGAGTTGATATTCTCTAAAAAATTTAATACTGTAAAACGACAAACACTTTAGCACGTGATTAGCGATAAAGGGGGAAGGATAATTGGGATCAGCAGCCAGATCATGCAAAGATTTCGTCAAGTTTTAGTATTTTAAGACTTTCATAAAAGTTTAAAAATGTATGATTAGATAGCATTACACTTTCAATATATATAATTATATAATATATACTAACATATTACACTTTGGAGAGGAGAATGACCACACAACTACCAACGGGAAGTTCAAAAACTAATTAAATTTTGAGTTTCTTCAAATATACATATTTTGTGTTCTCTCTACTTCCCGATCTCGTGCTACATTGACATGACTTTCAAAAATTCATCATTCTTTTTGGTATGTTCCTAGAGTATCCACCGTCGATAGCAGTGACTAATCTCCTCGTTACGTTGGAAACACCTCAAAAGGTGAGATAGCTGGTCCCAAGATTTAACACGGCTGCATACACAAGGCAGGATAGCTGGTCCCAAGATTTAACACGGCTGCATACACAAGGCAGGATAGCTGGTCCCAAGATTTAACACGGCTGCATACACAAGGCAGGATTCAAACTCCTGACCTTGCTTAAGCGTGGATCAACCCCTACCGCTAAACCACATGCTTAATGTTAAAAAAAAAATCATCAAATGATGATATCATATACGTTAAAAAAACTGTGTATATAAAATTAGTATAAATTAAGGATGAAAATTTGTTTTTATATGTTTGAAGCACACCGATACAAATGTTCAACAAATGATTAATATTTATTAAAAGAGTTTCTTTGCAATTTAGTCCAAATGTATGTTATTTTTCTTTCTTTTTTATTATACCTGATATTTTAAAAGAAAAAAAAAATAGATTTATGTATTCACGATTTCAGAATTCTAAGATAACTTTAATTATTACATTTTCAATTATATACCCTTCTTAAAAAAAATAGAAACAGATAATTAATGATGTATAAAGAGATGAAAGTAATAAATGATCATATAACAACTTTTTAAATTTATTAGAGTATTTTTGGATAGAGAATTTAAATGAAATAATTTTTTTAAGACTTTTAAATATTTCAGGGGTGAAATGCTTTGTTTAAACTAAAAATTTATAAATATTTTAAAATTTAAAAATTTATAAAATTCTTTAAAATAATATAATTTCAAATTTTCATAAAAAAGTAAAGAATTTAAAAATTTTTATTTTTCTATTTTACTCATATATCATTTATCTCTCATATTCTATTTTTTCTTTGAAATTATAAGGTGGTTCAAGTTATTAGGGGGAAGGTACATTAAGGTTAGAGTAAGAAGGAGGTCTTCAGTTTGAATTGCTTCATAATTAATGACTAACAATTAACATTTGTTGATAAATAAAAATTCTATTTTCTCTCTCCCTTCTTTCCTCTCTCTTTCCTTCTCTCTCTCCCCTATTTCTTTTCTTTCTTCTCTCCCTAAATTTTATCTCCTTTCTTTCTCCTCTTACTGTCTCTCCCTTTTCTTTCAAAGTGGAAATAAAAAATATTAATATTTTTTAATTATTGAATATTTAAAATTAAATTTTAAATTATTAAAAATATCTAATATTAACTTTTGAAACTATTAAATATTTAAAAAACACTAATATTTACTTTTATAAAATTTAATTTAAAATCTCAATATATATATACAAGGAGGATTCAATAATATCAGTATAAATTTTATTAATTATTACACCGCTTAATAACTTTTAATTAAATATGAATTTCATCAACTCAATCGTTGAATTATAATTTTATATCACCTTATATGTTTATATACAATTTTGTTAAAATTAAACAAAAATTTGAAAGTAATTAAAATATTTATATTTTAGTATATTTTAAAATGTATATATTATGTCAATTTTATTCTATAAAAATGAAGCATCAAATTATATTGAATTAATATAAAATTTTGTATATATAATTTAAGAGTAAGGAATTTTTAATTTGATGATAAATTTTAAAATATTTACATTTAATTAAAAACTATTAAGCAGTTTAATAATTTATAAAAAAATACACATGTGTCATTTGAACCTCTCTCTCTCTCTATATATATATATTTATTTATTTATTTATTTATTTAAAATCAATTTATAATAGTGAAAATCAAACTACCATATTTTAACTAAGAATTTAAAATTTAAAAAATTTAAATTTATTCATTGAAACAAAATATTTAAAGAATGAAAAAATTATAATTAAAATAATTCCAATTCCAAAAATTTTAAATTTCTAACATTTTTCATCTAAACACCATTTGTTACTTATCTTATGATATCTACAGCATGAAACACACTGAACACTTGTAAATTATATCTATATAAGTGTGATTGGATGGGATTTTTATTCTCTAAAGTGAATAAAGATAAAGTTAATAATCTCAATTGTTAATTATTGATTATTAACTTTTAATCGTCAGAGATTATTTATCTTACTCTTTAAGTTGAATTGTTTATTTTTATTAGAGTCAAATGCATGGAATGCAGTATCGATCATATGATGAATAAATCATTTTGCAACTATGCATTAACTTTAAACACAAAATTATCTCTTTCTTTTCTTTTCTTTTCTTTATTATATTTTTCCCTGTCTTCAGTAGCTCTTGTTTATGTGAAGCAAAGAATCTTTGAAGTTTGGCCCAAACTTGATGAGAGAACGTACTAACAACCAACCATTCTTGTTGTAAAGGTCTCTAATCTCTATCATTGATGCTAACAACCAAGACACGAACTGCTCCTAATTGAGAAATTCTTCTAAAAGCTTATCTGGTGTGAGATTTTCCTCTGATGCAAACTTTTCTGAAACTTCACTTTGTTTGAGATGCTTCAAAATTTGCATTCCTTGATAACCACAAGAATATTTGGTGCCCATTTTAGAAAATTTGCATCATCCAATTGCTATATACTAGATTTGAATAAAGTTTGAAAAGTGAAGGGTACATGGTCTAGAACTTAGTGGCCATGTATTGGATTGCTCGAATATGAAAGAAGAAATACTCCTTCTATCAAATATAAGAAAAAAAAAACCATATATTTTAATTTTAAATATAAATAAATTTCAACTAATTTTACTTTATTTAAAAATATCATCTCTAAAATATCTTTTTATTTAATTGAAATTTTATTCTCAATGTATTTTTTTATTTATATTTTTAATATCAAGTTTCAATATGAAAAGTAATTTAGAAAAATATGACATTTTTTTTAATAATATTAGTGAAATTAATTGATGTTAACTAACTTTTTTCATTAGTATAAATTGGTACTTTTTGTTTTCATTCAAAATTAAAGGGAGTTGATAGTTATTTGTATAAAGTTGTTTAGTCTGTCAAAGTAAATCCTAAGAATTAAGAGTCTGCTTTAGTTCATAAAGCAGCTTTTCATGCTTGCATGCAAGATTTGTGGAACCTTGATTAAACCTAAATTGAGTATTTGATTAATAAAAAGAATTACAGTACCGTGAGTATATTATACTAACAAAATAATCCTTAATGATGGATATATTGACATCAAAATATTGCTCAATAAGAAGGAATTTGTCAAAATAAGTTGACGTTTTTAGTACTTTTTAGATAGATTAATTCTTGCATTGTGGTTTACCTCAACAGTTATTATATCCAAATATACTTGAGTTGTGAATATATATACATTTTTATTTTTGTTTTATATGGTCCAAATTTTCATTAATATATGGTTTTTGGTCTATCTGTTTGTTTTTGTTTGTATGTTGAAAGCAAGAACTCAATTAGTTTGGGCTTGAATCTGGAAGCCCATTATATCTAAATAAAAAGTGCAAGGCCCACTGACTCTCTCTCTCTCTCAACCTCGGATTTTAGAAGGCAGCATCAAAGGTCTTGTCCTTGTTCTGCATCAACTCATATTGTTAGAGGTGAATTTTCGGAATTATTTTATTTATTTATTTATTTATTTTTCTTTTCCTTTTCATGATGCTAAGTCGCATTTTTGGTCTTAAAGTTAGTCCTAGGAATTAGGGTTAGGGGCAGTGTATCTTAATTCATGATCTGATTAATCTCCATTTCTTGTGAAGGTTCCTTCATCTGGTGCTGTTTTACTAATCAATTATGGCCTATGAGATAAGTGAGATAAAGAGTAAGAAGCATTGCAATGCATGTTCGATTCTCAGTTCTCTTTTTTTTTTTTTTTTTTTTTTTTTTTTTTTTTTTTCTCTAATTTAAGTGTTTGAACATGATTGAGACGCCGCGTGTGTGTGTTTGACCTTGGAAATTTGCAGAGATTGGTATAGGCCTAATTGGCTTCGGCATATTTTTCACATTTCTTGGCATAGTTCTTTTCTTTGACCGTGGTTTGCTTGCTCTGGGAAATGTGAGGCTTACTTCTTCTTCAATCCAAATTTCCTTAACCTTTTTGTTTCAAATTGGTAATGATATATAGCCCTAATTTTGGTTTTGGCAAATGCTATTATGGAATAGATATTTTCCTTGGCAGGGGTAGCCATTTTGCTTGGTTGGCGTTCCACGTGGGCACTTTTCACTAATAGAGCAAACTATAAGGCACTCTTCTCTCCCTCTTCATTGTTATTACTGATTAGTGGGATACTTGTAGAATGCCAGTCACATGTTACATAATTGCTTTTATAGTTATATGCCAGGGGTATAGCTGCTTCTTAACTTTTGTGTTGTTTGCTTTAGGTGAAAGAACAAATTTATCATTCCTTAAATTCTGCCCCTCTATGTTTCATCTCCATCTGAATCAGTTTGCATGAAAGGGTCACTGCTGTTGTCACCAACAACTATGGTTGCTCTGCCCGTAATGACCCACTAACCACCAACTGTAAACTGGTGTCCCACAGCTCCAGTGGTGGTAGAGGTATAACTGGGTTCTGCATATCTTGAATTTTGGTGGCTATTGTCTGCAACTTTCGACCTGGCAGTTCTATTGCTGAAAGTTTGGTCAGCATGTAAAAAACCCAAAGCTCTGTCATCATTGAAAACCCATCTCCCTCCATGATCAACCTAAGGTTGGTTGGTCCTGGTAGCGGTTGTGAGGAACGACTTGCATGAAACCCAATATGCTACAATTCCTTGCTTCTCCATCATGCAATTTACATCCTCCTTTTTCACCTCTTCTTTTCTACCTAGAAGATTTTCAACACTTAAATCTTTTGTTTTGTTCTTCTCCCATTCTTCCCCTATTGTACACCCGAAACAGGCAGAATCTTGTTCTTCCATCACCTTCCCATGTGACCCACTCACATCTAATAGAAGGGTTTCTTTTATTACTGTTTTTGCTTCATCATTCTTGCTTTCTTCTCCACCACAAAATGTGTGTTCTTGATTACTGAAACTTCTTGACTTCTTTTCTGACTTCAAGAATTGCAGCGGGTAAGTGTTACACCTTAGACTACTATCCTTCATGTCAATTCTCTGTTCTATGCTTCCATCAAAGGTGGGTAACTCTATCTTTCTTGTCCAAGAACTAGCTTCATCTTTAGCAAATTCTGACCTATTCCCCTTCATGTTGTTCTTGTCCTGCTCACCTTCTTGTTCCTTCATTTTCAGCTGCAAATCCTCAGCCTGTTCCATCATCTTCCCAAACATCAGATGAAGTGCCACCTCTGTCTTGTCTTCTTTTTCCTCAAATTTTTTGTCACCATGGTTTTTCATCTTCAAACTTCCATTTTCTGTTCTCTTTTCTTGCTTCCAGAATCTTCTGACCAATGATGAGGAGAAAGACTCCCAATTTGAATCTGGTTTCCCTTGGCCCCAAATGTAGAACCAATACATCGCCACACCCTCCATGCTCATGAAAGCATATTGCAACTTATGGAAAGAAGGAATTTCATGTACCTTAAAGAATTTCTCAGCCCTAGCAATCCAACCCAATGGGTCTGCAACCATAAAGGCTGGCAGCTCCACCTTCTTGGCCCAAATATGTTTTTCCTCCATCTCTAACACTGGCCAAGTCGGACAAATTTGTTAGGAACCAAAAATTGAAATGGGAAATGAAAGACAGATTTTATTGAGTAGGATAAAGTTAACAAGAGACAGGTGAGAAATCTCTCCCCCAAGGGTTTCCCCTTCACAAAGGATTACTCCTTTCACAAAGAGCTAAAACTCAAATCTACAAATGAAAAGATCTGAATCAATTACCTCCCCTGCAATCCTCCCATTTATAACCAACTCTCAACACCCAGCAGTCCTAATAGAATCACTGTACAAACAACCACACTGCATAAATTTATCCCCCTACCACCATTATTTTCGTTCATTACCAGTCTATTGCTTAATGGAAAATATCTGTCATGAAATTCAAAATCTTGTTCAGAACTTTTCAGCTCTTCAAGGAAAATGCATGTGCTAGTTGTAATATATGAAATAAGTCAAATTTATTTTTGACATACATAACATTGAAAATTTCCACTTCTCCTAATGCATCATTGATTGAGAGGCTGTTCACACAGTTTATTTGTTTTCTGCTTGTTTCATTGATAGTTCAGAGCAAAGAAATTGGATCTTTTCCCATTTAGATCTTGCTTGTCAGCTTGCCTGTAAGAGATTATTTCCCAGTGCCAATTGTTTTTAGAAATCAATAATTCCTACTGAATCAGGATTCTGTTAGGTTTAGGTCTGTAATCTGTTTTGCTAAAAGTTCTAACACTGATAAATTAAAAAAAATATGTGCATTGGACTTCCTGCATTTCTTTATGTGACAAAACATTAAGCCCAAAAGATATTATATTTGAATGGATGCTTGTCTGTTGTATCTTTTGTTTTTTGTTCTTCTACTTATACATCATATATTAACCTGATTCTATTGTCTTTATTCACCTTGACTTTAAATTTCCAAATTCTCTAAGAGTGGATAATGAATCATTTTATGTGGGGATAAGTACCTTGGTTTGCCTTTTTTGCAGGGTTCTGCATCATTTGTTCTAGGTCTCTTTTTCATTTTTGTGAGGTGGCCTATAGTTGGAATAATACTCGAAATATATGGTTGTATTTTTCTCTTCAGGTTAGTTGATGTCATCTTCTCAAACTCTCAAGACTACAAAACTTATTCTACACTTACCATTAATGCTTTTGGTTGCAGTGATTTTTGGTCATCTATCAAAATGTTCCTCTACCATATCCCTGTTGTTGGATGGATTATACGGTTTATCTCTCGTAAGTTTCCTTGTCAAAAATCATTCTCAAGATTTCATGGAAGTATTAATATATTCTTAAGAAAATTGCATATGTAAATTCGATTAAATATAGATATTATAATTTATGTTGGCTTCTAAGTTCTAACTACTATTTCAAATGATGAATGGAATGACATTGATCCTATAAATGTACCTTTATTACTCGCCCGTCCACCATTTCTGAACCCTTTCCTTTTCTCTGTTCAAAAACCACCCTCACTTTTTTATTGAATGTTGATGTCTTGTATTTGAAATATGAATATATATATATATTAATTTTGTTTGCTTCCTTGAGTTTTATTAGTTATTTTCTTGTATGCTTTGCTTAAAACCTCAGACATTTTATTGTTAAGCATGAACATGTCAAGAATTTGGATTTATTTTTTCCCTAACTTTTGAGCATTTATATGTATATAGTAGAAATTACGTAATATGTATATAGAAATTCGAAATAGTAGCCATCTTGCAATGTATAATACTGCCATAGAATTTTTTGGGGTTGGCCACTATGTGTTGCTATCCATGATTGATAAATATTTATTAGCAGAGAGTGATTCTTGTGTTAATAAGGTTTTCGGACCTGATTACTAGTTTCCGATTAGCTACCCCCAAGGAATCACGTGTGATGATGGCATGTTTAAACATTTTGACATGTAATGGCCAATTTTTTTTTAAGTAATCATGTTATTAGTACGAATTACGAAGTATTTTCTAGCTTTATCCATGATTACCCTTTGTTGAGAATCCTAACTGATTGCTTTTAGTGGGATCTTTTTTCAATCATATTTTTTCTATCCACAAGACTCAAACTTGATATCTTTTTTAATGACTTGTTAATATGTGATGATCAATTTAATTGAGATAAAAGGAAATTGTATTTAATCAAATTGAAATAATTGTTATTCTTGCTCTAGGATTTTATACTACTTGTTATTCTGTGTGTATATATGAGATGAATAACACAGCTACAATCATTTATGATTTAGATTATGCTTAATATTTGCTTGTACCATGTTGCAGCTCCTTGATTGTCACAGAAGGGGATTTGACTGATTGCCGCTTGGTATATGGCTAATCATTGGGGTTCAATTACCTTGGTGATTTTTCCAATACTTGTTATTAATGTAATGTTAAGCTAGCTTTTCCAAGAGTTTGCATCAGGTAAATTAGTTTCCTATAGTGAGAAGTATCGCAGCATGATTTATGACAAAATGTTGGTACTTAGTAGCCATATTTTGTTGCTTCAAGGCTCATAACATAACGTCTTTGTATTTTGTTTTAATGTAAACAAGAATACGAGCTGGTTATGCTGTTGAGTTTTTCTACTAGCATGAAGGCTTGTTACTGCTTTCGGACTGAACATACGAAGATGGCTTTTGTTAGGCCAACGTGCAGGATTAACCGTTATGCCCCCTTTCGTGACCTCGCCGAAGGATGTTAAAATTCTTTCTGTATATTTTTAGTTTATGAAAGATTCACGGGTTATTCGTGTTGGTCGTGGAATTAAACGTTATTTTGTCAAAAAAAGGTAGTGTGTAAATAACGTGGGTTTTTATGTCTCAAGTTTTCATGAATGGAGCCTTTCTATTTTAGTTATTGATCCATATGAAGATTTTAAAAATGCGGATCACCTTGTTTCAACAAAAATTCAGACCGTAGAGGCATAGATCCAACCACGCTACTTGCCATGGCTCGGCTCGGCCCGGCCCGTTTCATGTGGCCCAATTTTCTTTTATAAACTTGTTGGTTTGTCAGTCCATTGGATAGTCATTTTTGAACTTCTACATGTTATTACTACGATGAATTTGACATACTACATAACGTGAAATTAGATTATACTTCTTAGGGTTTATAACTTCATAATTGTTGATGAATGTTAACGAGGAATTAGATAAAATAGCATAATAGTTTGTTAAGAGATATTAAGGTATGTAATTTCCCAAATACAATGTCTTGTATTTTTTAGCTTTTATTTTTTGTTAAAAGTATTTTTTTTTTATTGAAAGGTATGTTTTTTTTAAAAGAATAGTATTTTTTAGTAGAAACCTCAATAAAAAAAGTGTATTATTTATTAACATATTAATTAATAAACAAATGCATCCAGTATTTATGGTCTAGATTCGAGATCAAGAATGTAGCATACAGCCACATTGACAGAAGATTCAAGTTAATCTTTATCTAAAAGAAAAAAATATAATATTTACATAAATTATTTGAAATAGTAAAGTATAAACACAATTCGCGCCATTTAGAAAACCATATGTTCTATGTGCGAGTATGATAATCTAAGCCAATTACGTGTAGATAAGTAAAACGTGCACTGTTTTGTTCACAAAACGTTGTGTGCCAATACTAATTCTGAATTAAAATTTTAAATAAATCTGGTCATCATCCGCTTATTATTGTCTCATATCACTAAGTCAATTGACCAATAGGTCAAGTATTTTAAAGAGTTTAAATTAAGTGTAAAAAAATTACACTATTGATTAATCAAAACATTTTTTTTATATGATTTTTAAAGTAATCATTATAAATATAAGCAAAATTACTATATGTAAGCATCTATGATAAAATGTTAGTATATTTATTTTTTATATTGTTGGTGCATGCATTATTTATTCTATTTTAAATCCTCATCCCTTAAATAGTACATGTTAGTTTCATAAATAATTAAATACCCAACAAATAGAAAAAATAATTTATTTATATATTTTTAAAGAGATAAATTATGATTTTTAATAAATTGATTATTTTTAACCTTATTACTAATTGTTATTATTATGATTTAAATTATTTAACTATTATAGTAATATTTTTAATATTTTTAAAAAATGAGAGGTGAACCACTATGGTCAATCCAGCATGAGGGATTGAAATAGTATACTCAACACAATGTTTTAGGTTTGAATCTAGATACTGTTAATTATAATTTTGATGAGTAAAATAAAAAAGAAATGAGAGGTTGATAAATAAATCTTGACTCCAAAACACACTCACTTTTACATCCTCAAACAGACATGTTTCGACGCCACATCTTTGCAAACTGGGAACATCACAATGATATATATATATATATATATATATATATATAT